CTCTCTCTCTCTCTCTCTCTCTCTCTCTCTCTCTCTCTCTCTCCCCCTTACTTTTTTTCTGGACTAGGCTACTGTCTCTTCATTTCTTTCTTTCCCCTGGTGGATTGGATTCAGTCACATCTCAATCTCTCCCTCTTTTGCCTTTTTTCTCCTTTCTAGTGATTGGGATTTGGAACTGGTAGAACTGGTAAGACATGTCACCTCATGTCAACTAAGATGTGGCGCCAATTTGCAGTCCTAGAAGGAAAGGATCATAGAACGCTAGAGCTAGAAGAGAGCTTAGAACCCAGAATTTTAGAACATGGAACTTTTGTGAGCCTGGAGCTGCTATTCTGAGCCAAAGCATCGCCAGAAAATGCTGTCATGACAGAGGGATGGGTATTTTGTTATAAGTCTGGTATGTTTGACTCCTGTGTGCTTGCTGAGACTGTTCTATATGCCAGGAGAATATTCCCTGTCTTTGTGGAATTTCTGTCCATCTTTTAAAGCCAAACTCAAATGCAGTTTCCTTCGTGCAGCCTTCCAGGATCCACTCCAAATACCCACTCAGGAACTCCTTTCCCCTCTCAGGATTCATAAAGCACTTTGTTTTATACCTCTAATGGACTTATCACACATTTTTTTGTTATTAAAAATATTTGGGTTAGTTTCTTATCTCTCCCATGAAACTATGAGTGCTAAGGATGGCATTTAATCTACATTATGTATTTACCATAACATGGGCTATGGTTTTTAATAAATATTTGTTTTACTGAAAATTCAAAACTTCTGGTATTTGACATGAGGAACTTACCTAGACACAAAAATTCTTGGATTCTATTGGTTTCCTTCCACTGTTTGCTAACAGAGGAAGGTAATGTGAAGGAGTCATTTCAATTCAGCACCTAAATGACCTAGGCCTACCCCAAGAGGCTGAACTGCCATAGTTACTTACACTGGACGCTGCTATTAGAAGGGAGTTGACCAAATCGTATGCCTTCCCCGGAAGTAGGGTTCACACACCAGGTATTGCTGCCAGATTCCTGGAGCTGGTTGTATTCTCCTGTCTAAAATAAAAATGTGACAGCTTTACTGCTTCTAAGCTGGTCACTTGGGTACCAAGGAGCCAAATCCAAAATGAGAGTTGGGCTTCTCAAAACTAAAAAACATTTATTCAAAAAAAAAGAAAAAACAAAAACAAAAACAAAAACAGTATTTGCAGGAGAACCTGACACCGGTATCCTGAGATGCCAGTGGGATTTGAGGTGCTACTTCATTGGAGATGGGGGTAATTTGTTTGTCAAAAGCAAATCATGCAGAAATGCAGCTTTCTAAATAGTTTCTCTGGCCTCCAGCGACACTGAAATGAATAACAGCAATAAAAATAGGATAAAATGTGCTGGAGTTTTTTTGTTCTAATTTAAGAAACGTGGAATCTTTCGCCCTCATTTCCCAAGCAGACCCATAAACTTTCAAAGTTGGAAAAGACTTTAGGGAGTGTCTTGTCCAAACTCCCCTATTTTACCAGAGGAAGAAACTGAGGCCCAGAAAAGAGAGGTGGTTTGTTCAAGGTCACACAACTCTACAAGAGTTGGGTCTACACTACAGTTCTCCTGACTAACCTCCTCTGAGCTCTCTCAGATGAGCCATCACCTCACCTTGATGTAACACTATATAGAAAGGCCATGTGGGAGAGCAGGAAGAGCCCTGGACTCTTAGTCAACAGACCCAAGTTCATACTTTGATGCTAACAGGTTGTGAGGAAAAGTCTCTTCACCTCTAAGCCTCATTTTCCTTAATGTGAAATGAATATAATAACATTTGTAGTACCCCACAGGGTTATTATGAATTAAGTGGTTTATAAACCTGAAAGTGCCATAGTGATTGGTCACTTAATACAAAATTCATGCTTTACAACAATCATGTGAGATAGATAATGCTTATATTGTTATCCCCATTTTACAGATGAAGAAACTGAGGCCCAGAGTAAATGGTAGACCTCAGACTTAAGCCTACCTCTCCTGGCTCTTGGTGAAGTACTTTTCCCACTATACCACACTATCTAATTTCCCCAAAGAAGTTAGAAAACTTCTAAGCTATTGGAAAAAATCCCCAATTGCATTAGCTTTCCTTTCCTCCAGTCATATGGCTTACCTCCAGACAGGATGGGGTGAATAGGTCTCCTGGAGAAGCATCATCTTCAGTACCCCCTCGTTCCCAGCTGGAAAGCAACCCATTGGTCCGAGATGTCTCACATGCTGAGGGACCTGTTGGAAATTTAAAGGCATCCTGAATTAAAAAGAATAGACTCCTTATTCACCAAGTTCTAAATAAAACAAAATTGTTTTCCTCCTGATTCTGCCTCTCTCAGATACTGGAGTGCCACTCTACTAATGACTAGAATGGAGTTGCATTGCTAGGGTCGCTTGACTGGCCAACATGGGCCAGTGTCCCATGTTCTACAAGGGTTTCTTCTAATAAAATTCCAGTCAATAAACGTTTATGAAGAACTTCCCAAAATTATCGAGTTTCAGAACTGGAAGGGACCCCAGCAGCCATCTAATTCAACCTATGCCCAAAAGGAATCCTTTAGTATAACATACCCCACAAGTGGTGAGCCAATCTCTACCAGAAGGCCTCCAATGTTGGACCACCTGAGACAGGTCATGCCACTTAGAAGAGTTCTGATTGCTAGGCAATTTCCCCCAACTACACATAACCCAAATCTGCCTCTTTGCCACTTCCATCCATCACTCCTGGTTCTGCTTTCTGTGGCCAAACAGAACAAATCAAATCCCCTTTATACTTGACTACCCTTTAAATACTTGAACACAACTATTATAGAAACTAGAGGCCAAGAGGGATGAAATGGATGTGATTAAGGTCCCACAAGGAGTAAGAGAATATTAATAATATTAATATAATAACTCATAAATATTAACATAATATTGATTAGAACCCAGGTCCTCTGACAACAAATCTAGAGCTGACTCCATTGTCCCATGTTATTGCATACAGTAGGCACCTTAATGGATATTTGTGGAAATGAAGTGAACTAAGCTGAACTGAACTGACTGAAATATCACTTAAGTCATGTTGGACAGTGGCTCCCAGAAACTGTCACTTACACTGTGGCAATCTTGTGGAACGAGCAGCCAAGGAGTCCACAACATACTTTCCCTTCTCATCCACACACCAGCAGTGCCCTAGAGAAAAATCAACAAAACCCAGGATTTAAGAATTTTCTTGTATTTGTTGTTATTGTTCAGGCATTTTGAATCCTGTCTGACTCTTCATGACCCCATTTGGGATTTTCTTGGCAACCATGATGGAGTGGTTTGCCATTTCTTTCTCCAGCTCATTTTACAGATGAGGAAACTGAGGCAAACAGGGTTAAGTGACTTGCCCAGGTCACATAGCTAGTAAGTGTCTGAGGACAGATTTGAACTCAGAAAGATAAGTCTTCTTGACTCCAGGCCCAGTGTTTTATCCACTGTGCCACTTAGCTGCCCACTGGTATTTGTATCATCCAATAAACAAGTTAACAAATACACCTTCTTGTCTTATGGATATACCAGTCAGGTGAAATCCCTTTTGAATCTTCTTTCCCCTAGCATATCAGAAATGTATAGTTCCAGTAGTCAGAAGAGACCTTAAGATAGCATCTAGCCTAACTCCCTACCTTCATATCTCTGTTTTGCTGATTTATAAGAGAGACAGCCCTGGCCTGGGAGTCAGGAGACCTGAATTCAAATTCCATCTCCACCAATTGCTGACTGTGTGACCTTGAGTAAATCACTTATCCTTCTGAGTCTTGTATCTATAAAATGGGAATAATAGTACTGATACCAGCTGCCAACAATAATGTTTTATGGTTTTACAAGGCACTTCAGGTCTCTTATCTCATTGACTGCCACAACAACCCTGTGAAGTAAGCAGGGACAAATATTATGACTCCCACTCTACAGGTAAGAAAACTAAGGCTCCAAAAAGTTAAATGATTTCTTCAAAGTCTCACAGCTATTAAGTAAAGGAGCCAGATCCTAGATCCTGGTGTTCTGGTTTCATATCTAATCCATCCTCCATTACACAAGGGTTTTAGTGAAGATCAAACAAGATGATATATGTAAAGAACCAATCAACCAAAGAACAATCTTTATTGAGCACCTACTGTGTGCCAGTCCCTGTGTTGGATTCTGGGGATACAAAAGCAAGAGTAAAACGGTACCTGCCCTCAAGGAGCTTACATTCTCATAGGGGAGACAACATGCATAAACAGGTATCAGCAAAATACATCTTTGCCTGATAGTAAGGGAAAGTTTTATGGAGAAGATAAGAATTGATTTGGACTTTTTAAAGATGGGCGGATATTGCATAGTATCAGACACTTACTAGCTGTGTGACCCTGGGCAAGTCACTTAACCTTGTTTGCCTCGGTTTCTTCATCTGTAAAATGAGCTGGAGAAGGAAATGGCAAACTACTCCAGTATCTCTGCCAAGAAAACCCCAAATGGGGTCAGAAAGAGTCATACGTGACTGAAAATGACTGAATAACAACAACAGCTACTGTATTGATGGAGAGAAAATAATCACTAAAAGGACCTTAGGGATCAAATAATCTAATTTCTTCATTTTGTAGAGAGGGAAACTGAGGGAGGCCCATAGGTTAAGGGATTTGCCCAAGGGCATAGTGGTAATAAGTGGCAGAGATAGGAATCAAAAGTCCAAGAACTCCAAATTCATCATTGTTTCCCTTGTATCATTACCGGTTGTAGGGATTGTATGATTGAAACCAGACTACAGAAGACTATGACCAGCAGACTAAGGAGTCAGAGGAAGAGAAGGAGAGGAAATGTGATAGAGAAGGATGAGCATAGTCTGACTGACATCCTAGATTTGGGGAAATCAGATTTCAAACAGGCCACAGAAGAGATAAGATATGGACTTTCTGTGGACTGAAATATGTCAAGGGAAGTCAGCCAGGAGGTATGGGAGGTAGTGAAGAATGAAATTCTGAGGACAGCGACACAATTCCAGTGACGGTGAAAAAGGGGATTTGTCCTAGAAGACCATTGTGGATCCATAAAGGACTTGTCGACCAATTTAGATTTTTAAAAGTAATATACAGAAGATAGAAGCAAGCCCAGATATCACACAGCATGACACATAGCAGTAAACTATTTTTACAATGTGGTAAAAATAGTTTCAAGAATGCTAAACTCAAGAGTCTGGCAAAAAAGACAAGGCCAATAAAAAATGTTTTTTTAAAGCTACATTGGAAGGAAAATAAGGATCAAAGAAGGTATAGAATCTTCGCTTGAGATGGATGGGACAATGATAACTGCCAATGGAAAGAAAGTAGAACAATTCAATTTTTACTTTGTTGCTATTTTTTCTACAAAGAGGAACGACTTTTACATTGGGAGTCTCAAAGCAAAAATGATCAATGGAGTTGTTATTCAAGATCATGAAGGGGATGATAAGGGAGAACCTAATTGCCCTAAATTAATTCAAATTAGTGGATGATCAACATCATTGGATCCTGAGAAACCTGATAGATGTGACTGTTGAGTCACTGTCAGTGATGTTTGAAAACATCAGGAAAACAGGAGAGGTACCACGAAATTGGAAAAGTAAAAATATTGTCTCAGTTAATGAAAGAGAAACAGAGAGAAGGGAAGGGAAGAGAAAAGAAGATAAGAAAAGAGAAGGAAAGAGGAGAGGAGGAGAGGGGAGGGGAGGGAAGGGAAGGAGAGGAGAACACAATCTAAAGGCCAGTGAGCTTGGTTTCCATTCCTGGCAGTTTTTGGTCTTCAAGCAGCGACCATGTGTTATACATAAAGGAGATTTGTTTGTTTCTGAGTCAGATTAGAAGACCACTAAGGTTCCTTCCAACTCTCAAATTCTTTGATATTATGATTCTGAGTTGCAGCTTATTATATAAACAATGGGAAACTAGTAAGTATTTTGGGGCAGAGGCAAGGACATTATGAATGAATAAGTGTTCATTGAGTATTTGGTTTGTGCCAGAAACAATCTGCTAAGAGCTGGGGGAAGGGTGGAAACCAGAATCCATGTCACTGCATTCTTTCAGAATCCAATGTTCTTTGTACTCTAGTTTGATACTCAATAAGGGCTTTCCTGGTGTTGTTCAACACAGTGGTTTTAAAGCAGAGCTAACATAAAATTAGAAATAGCCTCATAAGTTTGAAGTTTTGAATGGACACCCCATTCAGCTGCTTCAACAACACATATAAAGGATGGAAATGAATAGTGGGAAAACCAGCAATGCTTTCTTGAGCTAACAGCTCTCCCATAGAGAAGAAAATGTCACCAAGTTCAACCTCTCACAGCCAGCAACATGGCAGCACTCTGCCTGTCTAGAGTGCTGACATGCAAAAACATGAAAAGAGAGGACCATGAGGAATTGTCTCTTTTCTCCAGAGGCAAGTTCAATTCTGAAGGAACGTCAGACCACCACTTGGGAAGCTCTATCTAGCCTTGGCAAAACCCTTTCCTGTAGTGGACAGAAATGACCCCTTTCCTTCCCCAGGATGTCCAGAACTAATCCTAGCTCTTGAGGATAATTGGAGACCAAACCACTTGGACACTTGACCTTGTTTTCCCATTCTCACATGAGCCAGGTTTGTTTGACTTTTTAGGTGATTCATCACAAAAGCCAGTTACCCATAGGAAGAAAGCATGTCATGGGAAAAGTGTAATAGGAAAACAACTGTTCTTAGAGTTAGAAGATCTGGGTTCAAATCCTAGCTTTGCCACTAATTATTGCTATGACCTTGGTCAAGTCATCTAATTCCTCTAGGTCTCAGTTTCCTCATCAGAAAATAAGAAGGTCCTCTAAAAACCTTTCTACCTCAAAATCTATGCTTTTATGTTCTATGATTAGAGAGAAGTAGGATGATATTCTGCTTACACTATCATCCAAAAATATTCCATGGGACATTGGACATGGTGAAGGATTTAAGAAGGGAGAAATTGGAGTAGGGCTATAAAATGGATGCTCTTGATCATGAGTCTAGTTATAAATTTTTTTAGTTTTGATTTTAGTAATTAGGTCTCCATCTGTATCTCTACCTTAATTCAGATCATACTATCCCCTGTGTCTGAGAATCATTTCCCACCCTGGTTGTCTCAGAATATTCTAGAACCTCATATTTGGAAAAGACCACAGAAGTCATCTAGTTCAACCCCTACCTAAGAGGGGAGCTCTTCTAGAGAAACTGCTGATGGATGCAGCCAATGACTGTTGGATACAGATGTGGCTATAGGGTAAATCACACAGTATATTTCCCAGGCCTATCAATTTGCTCAACCAAATAAAATGAAGTTTAAATAAATATAAAGGTAGCAGCCCCTTTTGTAATAGCAAAGAACTGGAATCAAAATAGACATCCTTTGATTGAGGAATAGTTAAATAAATTTTAGTCTATGAATGTGATTCAATATTGTCATGTAATAAGAAATGATGACTATGAAGAATTTAGGGAAGCATAGGAAGAGATGTGAACTGATGAAGAGTGAAGTAATCAGAACCAAGAAAATGATATATACAAACACCACAATAATGCAAATGAAAAGAACAAAACAAACGAAATGGAAAGTTTGTAATTATAAAAACCAAGTTTGACTCTGCAGAAGAGCTGAGAAATCATATCTCCTTTCCAGAGAAATGTGAGAAATCACATGTTTCACCCCCTGCAGAAGTGGGAGAATGTGGGTATGGAATATTCCATTTACTGTCAGACTTGGCTGATGTATCAGTTAGTTTTACTAAGTTGTATTTTTTCCTTTTTTATTCTTTATTAAAGGGATGGATGGCTCACTGGGTAGAAGAGAGCAAGGGGATATATTTGACTACGAAAGTGACATAAAGACAAATGCTATTAATATTTTAAAATAAAAACATGAAGATTAAGAGCATTCTTGAAAGGAGTGAGATGTCACAAAAATCTAGTTGGTGATGAAGGGTGTGGAGGCAGGGGGTGTGCTGGTAAATGCTTAACAGCTGGCTCTCTGAAAAAAATATTCACACTTTTAAGTTTAATCTGTATTATTAACATTTTCTCCATCCATCACTTTCTTAAGTTTAGACAAAACAACAAATCAAGCCTTGATTTGTAGCATTTCCCAATTTCTAAAGTGTAAATAAAAATTGAAACTGAAAATTTCACCATCAGCTCTGAGCCTTTTCAGCCTGGCTCCAGCACACCCCTGGGTTGAGGTGAAGGTATCAGTGGTGCAGAATGTGGACCCATACCATCTTATGCTTTGATGATACATACTAGGTGGGAGGAAGTAGACAAAACCAGGAAACATATTTGTATGCACTTGGCAAGTTTGAGTAATGTGTTCCCATTTACCAAGGTTTACCATTTACCAAGTGATGATTCAGATTTAAGACTTCCTTGTAAAAATTTGAATTATCACTAAACAAATGCCTACATTACACAGAAAGAAGATGGGACATTAAAATATATGCTTTTGGCTGCCTCTCCAAATACAAAGAGGTGGGGGGTAATATGTGGGAGAACTACAGATGTGGAATCTCTCATATCCAGGCAAACATGGCTGCTTTGTTAGGTGGTTTTGCTGAATGGCTTTTTTCTCTTTCTTTTAGGGGATGACTCACTGAGTAGGAGAGAAAAATAGATCTCTTTGAAAATAAAAGGGATACCAACAAATGTAAACATATAAACATATAACTTATTAGTTATCGGTATAAAGATATCAATATTGATAAAAATAAGTTATTTTAATATCTTAAATATTAAACAAAATAAGATAAATAAAAGAAAATTGTGTGCATTTATATTTTTCAAAAAGCATTAAAATAGTTCCTCATTGTATTTTCTGTTTTCATTGTGTTTTCATTGCTAGCTTCCTACCTTGCTCTAATCTGGACTCAGAATTGGGGGAAGATAGAAATCATCTCCCTTTGCTCTTGCTATCTCCCTCCCAGAAATGGATCTGGTGTAGGAAAGGTGTATTTGTTATGTTGAGAGGGGAGCATTATGGTTTCTTACTGTCTGTATCTATGTACATATATAACAATAACTAGAATTTATATAGCAGTTAAAGATTTTCAGAGCACTTTACAAACATCTCATTTGATCCTCAAAATAACCTTGAAAATGGGTGCTATTATGATCCCTATTTAATAAAGGAAGAAATTGAAGCTAAGTCACTTGTCCAAGGTCACACAGCTAATAAGTGTCTGAGGTTGGATTTGAACTCAGGCTCAGCACCCTGTCTACTATGCCACCTAGATAAAACCCTAGAATGTTACAGCTGGTTGAGACCTTGGAACTCTGTTTTATAGTAGAGGAAATGAAAGTCTGGAGAAGGGAATTGTTATACCAAATGCCACACAGAATTACTCTAAGATTTTGTTTTTATTTTTTTAGTACCAACTGACAGAACCATTTCTCCCCCAAATTTCCCCAGCAGCCCTCCTGGTTGACTTCCCATCTAGAAGTAGCACAGAACTCCCAATATATTAGGTCTGAGACCAAATGCTTCTATTCTCCACACTTTCAGGATGGTTCCAAACATGTAAATAACATGCGATTTTCCATAGCAGCTCTGACCTAGGCTACCAAGTGGTAATAACAACACCATTATACCAAACAGCAAATGCCTTACCAGTACTTTCAGAGCACTGGAGAGGCTCCCAGTTACCCAATCCATCACACTGTGGGACATACGGCTGATATCCCAGGAGGGTAGCTTCTTTCACAGGGTTTCCCAGGGCAGAGTAGCTTCTCTGATAGAAGGAAAAAGCTGGAAAATTTGAAAAGAAAAAAAAATTATAAAAGAGAAAGCAATATGAGAGTTCATAGATATCATTAATTAAGAATTATTTTATATGTTTAATAGAAATGTATATGTAGAGCCTATATCAGATTGTATACTGTCTTAAGGAGGTAGGGAGGGAAGGGAAGAAAATTTAAAACTAAAAAGTATGTGGAAGTGATTGTTGAAAACTAAAAATAAATTAATAAAAAAAAAGAATTATTTTACCTTGGTCAAATTATTGGAAGGGGGAGGGGTAGCAATATAACAGAGAATTGTGGGCGTAGTTCTCTACGAGGGGCGGCTAATACTCCCAGATAATCTCACACATATCCTCATGGAGTTTACGGAGAAGACAGGTGCTAGGAAAGGGTTATCATGCAGCAATGGAATCCTACGGTAGACTACAAAGTGAAGTTTACCAGAAAAAAGCATAACCTCTTGAATGTCGGGGTCCTGGTGCAAAAGCCCGAGTGACTCTGGGCTAGTTATAGATCTGTGAGAATCTACCCCGGAAGATCTTTAGAAATGTTGGCCCTGATGGGTTGTTATAATAATTCAGCCTGACTCCAAAGAAGAGAGGATAACAATTTACCTCCCCTCCCTCCCTTCTTTGCAGAGGTGCAGAATGCGGCATACACTATTAAACTTGGTTAGAAGGTAGGTTAGTTTTTATGAACTGCTTCCCTCCTGCCCCCCCCACTTTTTTATTTTTTTTATTCTTTAAGGGATGGCTCTGAGAAGGGAAGGCATAGTGATATATCTAGAAATGAAGGGGATATAAAACCAAAAGGGATCCATAAAAAAATTTAAGAGAAATGTTTGTTCTATCACTTGAGAGGCCACATGCCTTAGTGGAAAGAACATTGGACTGAGAACCAAGAGCCCTGTGTTCTAGGTGTGGCTTTGACTCTATATCACCTTGATCAAGTGACTTTCCTTCTCTGTGCTTCAGTCTCCTCATTTCTAAATAAGGTCATTGAACAGAATGGCACCAGGGCTCCTCCCCACGCCAGCATTCTAAGACCAATGAACATTCAAATGATCTATCTCCCTAATGAAAAAGAGAGCAAGCTCTTCAGCTCCCTTGGCCAAGTGCGCTGCTTCAGATTGGGGATGGATGAGGTATCTTTGGCCTTCTTTTTACAGCTTTATAGAATAAAACTACTTTTGATAGATTTTAAGGTATAGTGTTATGTTTCTTTCAGGCCATTTTCCCACGCATAACCAAATTTAATCCTTACAACAGCTCTTCAGATAAGTTGTACAAGCACAAGAAGTTCTCATTTTCCCTGTCTCACCATTTCTTCTCAGGATCCTCTGAAGGATTGTCATCCGTATTACCCCACCTAACTGTGATATACTCCAAGGCTCTGTCCTAGGTCCCTACGTCTCTCCCGACGATTTCATCAACTACCGTGAATTCAATTATCACCTATATGTAAATGACTCCAAAATTTAGATATCCAGATCTACATATCTCTCCTGAGCTCCAGTCTTGTATAGCCAATTGACTATTGGACATTTCAAACTATATCCTGCAGACACCTCAAATACATGACTAAAACTGAACATACTACTCCCTGTCCCTTTTCTGAAGTTCCCTATTTCTGTCAAGGGGAGCACCATCCTTCCAATTACTCAGGTTTGCCATCTTGATGTTACCCTCAACTCATAGCCCATATCCATTAGAGTATAGGCTCTTAGAGGGCAGGGATGGTCTTTCTTTTTTATTAATTGTATCCTAACACTTAGCACAGTGCCTGGAACACAGTAGGCACTTATTAAATGTTTATTGAGTAATCAGTTGCCAATTCTTTTTGTTTTGATCTCCATGTTTCCTTTGACATCCATCTCTTTTCTGCCTCTCACTACTCATGTCTTCAGCATTTTTAGCATGGACTGAGATATCACTGGCCTCAGACACTTATCAGCTGTATGTCACTGGGAAAGTCACTTTGCCTCAGTTTCCAGCTGTAAAATGGGAATCATAACAGCACCTCCCTCCCAGGGTTGTTGTGAGCATCAAATTAGATGATAATTGTAAAGTACCTAGCCCTGTGCTTGGCACATAGTAAGTGCTATGTAAATATTAACTATAATTATTATTATTCCTGGTCTCACTGTATATTATTCCCTTCCTATACTCTGCGATTCCCCCTAAAATGGTATTTTTTTTTTCTGTTCCTCACAAACGGCCCTCCATCCCCCACCTCCATATCTTGCGGTGGTTGACCTCATGCCTGGAATGCATTTCCTTCTCATGTTTGCCTCAGTGAATCCCTTATGTTTCAAGACTGAGCTCTAGCCCCACCTTCTACATGAAACCTTCCCTGGTCCCCCATTTCTAGGGCCCTCCTTTCCAAATCTATCTTGTATTTTTTTGTCTCTGTCCCCTATAAATTTCTACAGAGTATATGTTATCTTCCTCAATAGAATGCAAGCTCCTTGAGATCAAGGGCTTTGTTTCTCCAGTGCCTGGCACGTAGTAGGTACTTAATAAATGCTTTCTGACTGATCATTACGTACTTTGCTATTTGTGAAACACTTTCCTGACAACAATTCTGTGAAGTAAATACTTTATCTCTTATTATTTCCATTTTACATATTGAAAAACCGAAGGTCGGAGAGTTTAAATTACTTACCCACGTCCATGTAACTAATAAGTGTTGGACTTGAGACTCAAACCTAGATTCCCCTTGCTCTAAATTCCACTACGTGAAAAGAAGCAGCCAGGACCGGGCAAGTCCTCCCAGGAAGAAGGGACTGCAAGTCCAGCCCACCCTGAAGAAGGCAGATTAGAGAAGCCCAAACCTGAGGGTATGGAGTAGGGCATAAGAAAGATCCCAAGACATACTAGACCGTGCTGCTCTTTGAAGGGCGTAATCAATCCCACGGAACAGCTTGTTTGAGAATGCCTCCCCAGATGGGAAGGAGACAGGACGGGAGAGCTCTTCATCGCTCAGCAGGATTCCCTTAGCCATCAGAAAACTCTCTTCCAATGCAAACTGGGAGCTGTTGGAAGCCCTGATGATCTCTTCCGCTTCTTCAATGAACTGAACAACTTGGAGTCTCGCCTCCTCACATGCACCAGGACCTGAGGAAATCCCACCAAAAAGAGCAGATTTAGCCAAAATTAAACACCCGATTATTCTTCCCAAGAATTTAGAAGATCATATGGATATTGTGCTGTTGATATTAGTATTATTAATGTAGACACACAGTATAGCGTAGCAGGTGGATAGCAGACCTTGTTGTCGGAAAGACCTAGGTTCAATTCCTGCCTGTAACAAACCTTAGCTCTCTGAGCCTGGACAGGTTAATTCACCTCTGAGTGCCCCAGTCAACTCTAGGAGACCATAAGTCATTGAACGGTTGCTGATCTCCATTGACAGAAGAGGTTTCCTTACCAGGAATTCCCAATACCAATGAAATTATAAATCTGGCATATATACATATATAATATTATATAAATATATGTATATATGTATATATAATCTGTATACGTGCATATAAAATGTTACATATCTCATGTATATGTTTATATATACATGTGTACATATCTGATAATAAAAGGATTTTCTGTAACATATAAGTATATAATAATACAATGTAAGTATACATAAGCATATAATAATATATTTATAAAAATAATAACAAAAGGATTGTCACTTGTCCCTAGACCATTTCTTTGTAAATTCCATTGAAAAGATGAAAAGAATTTTCACACAACAATATCTCACATTTATATAGAGCTTTAAGGTTTGCAAAGCACTTTAGAATATCTCATTTGATATCAGTGGTCATTCTACCACACCATGCAGCCTCTGTCTCATCCAGTTCTGTGTAACACATTTTAAGAGAAACATTAAGCAGGGAATTCGAGGCAGTGTAGTGTAATAGAGACAGAAAAATCAAGAGATAGGCATTTTAATCTTATACCCAACACTTGCAAGTTGGCTAGTAACTGGACAAGCCATTGAACATGCCTGAGCCTCAGTTTCTCCATCTGTAAAGCAGAAGTAATAACATTTACAGTATTTACCCCAGAGAACTGAGATAATGTATATAAAGCACTTTGCCAAGTCTAAGACTCTAACGTGTTTGACCTTTATTAAAAAAGAAAGAATGAAATGTAGCAGGATATCTATTACCATGCTAAATACATAATGAATTCCATTGAAATGAGAGGACACAAGAGTTCTTTACCACTCAGTCTGATTCTCTTTGCCGGCAGGAAACTGTCCCCTAAGGCAAGTTATCTCACTGATGTACATTATCTCATTTGATTCTTATGACAACTCTCTGAATGAAATACTGAGGTATTATTAGCCTCATTTTACAGATGGGGAAACCGAGGCTCTGAAACCTTAACTAGCTTGCTCAATTACTTATGTTTAGTGCTTATTATCTAGTTACTTACATGCAGGGACTTTGTTGGGTTTAACTTGTGTTCCTTTCAGTTCTTGCCCATTCTCATCAACACACCAACAACCTCTAAGTTCAAAATGGCCCAAGGGGGCACTGAAATCAGTGTAGCGCCCAGGATAATAACTGAGCTGTCCAGTCAGGAGTTGCCAGAATGTAAATGGATCAAAAAGAATGTCATCTCCGGACATTGTCACATTGCCTTCCAACACTTCAATTGGCACAGCTTGGAAGGAAGAGTAGCCAGTGAGGAGCGGGAAGATGTTCTGCTGGCCAGCCTCGTACAGTTTTTCAATGTAGTTGCTAAAGGTCTGAGATGTTTCTCTGTAGCTCACCATCTTTTGGATCAGCTCAGCTGGGGACAGTTCTTGGCCGCCAATGTTCTGGGTGATCCACCGCTGGTACCACTTGAAGGCTTGCTCAGGGGGCCCGTTGCATTGCACTCTTTTCCACTGGCCTTTGGAATTACACTGTGGGATATAGATGTCGGAGAGCTGGGGCAACAGGCTAGGCTCATCCAGAATGGCCTGGATGGTCTGTAAAAACATTTGTTCAGCTGCCAACTGACAAGTAGTTGGGCCTAGGGAAAAGAAAGAGCAACCAAGTCAGCTTAAGAGATGCTAAGCATGAAAGGCCAAAGAGAAGCCACTGAATTGGTGGGAGAGGAAGAAAAAAGCTAGGGCATGAAACTAGGTAACCTAGGCTAGTATAAATGGTGAGATCATTTTTCTTGTGACTCACAAATCATCACTAGATTATACTGATAATAAAAACCATCAATAAAAAATGCTAGTGACATTAATTTATTTTAATTTTCATTAATAGGATTTATATAGCACTTTAAGGTTTGCAAAGTACTTAGAAAATTAATTATCTCATTTTATACTTATAATAATCCTTGAAAGTTGGTGCTTATTATTATCTCCACTTTAGAGATGAGGAGACCAAGGCAGACAGGGGTTAAGTGACTTGCCCACAGTTACTCAGCCGGTAAGTATCTGAGGCTTGATTTGAACTTAGTTTTTCCTAACTCCAGGTCAAACACTCTATTTACTGAACCACCTGTCATTGGGTAGCATATATTTCAGGTTTTATAAGGTGTGTGCTATATTTTAGGATTTACAAAGTGAAACAACCCTATGAGGTAAGTAGTCTAAGTACTATTTTACCCGTTTCATCCATTCATCATTCATCCATCCATGCATCCATTTAAGTAACTAATTGATTTTGTTCAATTTTCTTTTCAGTTCCAAATTTTTCCCCTCACCCCACTCCTCCCACAGCCATTGAGAAGGCAAGAAATATTAAACCCATTACAACATTGTTCCATTTTACAGATGAGGAAGCTGGGGTAAGCAGGGTTAAGTGACTTTCCCAGGGTCCCATAGCTAACACATGCCTGAGACCAGATTTGAACCACTCCAGGCCCAGCACTCTATCCACTGTGCCACCTACTGGCCCTGTTTACAGATCAGTACTCCAGAGATAGTTTTGGATGTTTCCTCCCTCCATGAATACAAATTGCAACTCTTCTATATCACATTTAAGAAATATTTATTTATTGACCGTTTGGCTCATGAGTTACCATGGTTGAAAAATTTCAACACCCTGAAACCAATGTGATGATGAGAGTCTCCAAACTTTGTTAGACCAGCCTTCAGCAAAAAATAAATAAATAAATAAATAGATATAATATTACTGGCAGGCTAACACAGTAGACTTATAGTGGGGAAGACCTGGGTTCAATTCTCACCTCAGTATTTATTAGCTGTATAACCCTTGGCAAGTCACTTATCAGTTTCTTCATCTATAAAGTGGGGATAATAATACCACTTATCTTATAGGGTTATTAGGAGGATCAAATTAAACAATTTCTATAAGGGGTTTCTCAAACCTTAAAGTACTATGCAAGCTATTATACTAAAACAAGCTACTATTAATATTAATCATCCATCCCTGAGGTCATTAGATTGTAAGCTCCTTGAGGGCAGGGACTGTCTTTTGCCTCTTTTTGTATCCCCAGAGCTTGGCACAATGCCTGGCATAGAGTAGGCGCTTATTAAATGTTTACTGATTGATATTCAATTCTGTCCATCTTGGTAAACCTGACAAGGTTTTCAAATGAACCTTAACAGGGTTTTAAAGAAGGCAACTCGTGGAAGTATGATATAATGGGGAAAAGTATTGGATTTGGAATCACAGAATTTCAGAATTGTAAGGCATGTCCTAAGCTCTGAATTCTAGTTCTGCTGCTTACCAATTTAATGACACTGTGAAAGGCGCCTTCTTTCTTTCCTTTCCTTATCTATAAAATAGGCTTTATTTTCCTTATCGATAAAATAGGAGGATTATACTAGATCAGGGGTGGGGAACCTGGGACCTTGAGGCCACATGTGTCCTTCTAGGGCTCAGGTATGACCTTGTGACTGAGTCCAAGTTTTACAGAACAAATTATTTTATTAAGGGGATTTGTTCTGTGAATTTGGATTCAATCAAAGGGCCACAGTTGAGGACCTAGAGGGCCACATGTGACCTCGAGGTGCAGGTTCCCCACCCCTTCACTAGATGATCTTTGAGGTCCCTTACAGCTCTAAAGTTTTTGTTTCTGTTTTTGTTTTAATTTTAAAGCAATTGGGGTTAAGTGACTTGACCAGGGTCACACAGCTAGTAAGCGTCAAATGTTTGGTCTGAGGCCACATTTGAACTCAGGTCCTCCTGACTTCAGGTCCGGTGCTCTATCCACTGCACCACCTAGCTGCCCTTTTATAGCTCTAAAGTTGATGATCCCTTAAGAAGGGTCTGATAGCTTTTAAAGCCGGGTGACTTACATTGCTTGGGTTCTCCATTCACTGTTTCAGTTCTAGGAATGGCTTGACCCTCAGAATTAACACAGTAACAACCCGAATCAGAACACTGCACCGGCAGGAAACTTCCATCACTTGAACAGGAAGGGACAGAAAGACTTGCCCCTGCAGGCAGGCTTCTCATTAAAACTTGTGCCCGTCCCCTTTCTTTCTCACATTCAGTGGGGCACCTGGGACGCTGGCCTCGAATCCTTGTATGTGGGAGCTCCCCGCCCTGGGGATCCACACACCAGCACTCGCCAGCAAAGCATTGAACTTGGTCATAACTCCCCTCTTCGGTGCACGTGGGAACAAACAGTTCACTGGATGGCTGTTCACAGGCCTGGGAGTTGAGGGCCAGTTTCACTACATCACCTAGACTTCTGGCTACATTTTTTGGGACTGAAATCACACTCTTCAAGAAGAGAAGAAACTCTGGTAGCTCCAGAACAGAGGCAAGAAATTTTAGCCTGTTTTGGTTTTCCTGTAAATTAATCTTCTGGCCAAAGCTGCCCACAATTGCTTGATTCAGATTCAACCTTTTCTTTGAATCTCCAGGAACCTCTTCATCACGGATAGAATCTTGGCCAACTAATAGCTGTTTGGTCAGTTCGACTAAATCTCCTTTGTTCTCTATTACTTCTAGGCCAATTTGCTGAAAAAACTGGGTAAAGTTGAATGTGCTCTTGGCACCAATGGCTCCAGATAAGTTAAATCGGCTTATGTTCTCCAAGAATTTCCCTCCAAAAAGGTTCTGTTGGAGTCGCTTTGGGTCAGTAGTGAACTGGAGGGCAAGTAGAGCTAAGTCCCTGGAGGGGAATATCGCCCTAATGGCTTCGATGAGGACAGTTTCCAAGGGGAAGAGCTGCTTAGCATCTCCCCTTTCAGTGAGAGGGAGCAACAGTCCGGAGTCCACAAACAGCTCTTTGAAAGAAGGCGGGCAGGATTTGCCAAACCCGGCAACTTTCTGAGATTCTTGTCTTTCTTCTGGGGCGAAGAATAAACTACGTTGGCTGAAGCGTCCACCAGGCCCAAAGAAGAGCTTGGACAAAGCCTGCTGCCTCTCTGAGACACAGGATCGTTCTGCATCTGGAACAGGACAAAGAAAAGCAAGAGAAGACAAGCTCAGGATGGCCAACACCACCTTCACCCCTGAGAAATCCTTTGAGAGTCTCAGTTCTTTCTTTTAGGAAGTTGCAATGGGTACAGCCAGAGAGTTAATAAAAGGGGCACTCCTCCATTTAACACCAGGATTGCTTTTTGCATTTTGGCTACATCCATGGCAAGTGTTTTGTGGTGGAAAGGGTGCTGGATTTGAAGTCAGAAGAACTGAGTTCAAATCTTGTCTCTGCTGCTTAGTATCTGTGTGACCGCAAGCAACACCTCTCTGCCTTAGTTTGCTCGTCTACACAATGATAGAGTTGAACTAGAGAGCCTCTGAGGTCCATTCTAGTTATAAATCTGTGATCCTATGACCTCATGCTCTCCAATAATAAAGACTGCATGCTCATTACACTGTACTGGGATTGTCAGTTGATGGCAAAGCAGACACTTTGCCTTGTTCCAAAGTGAGGCTGCATGAGCCCTGTCTAGTGGCTAGAAGACTGAGCCCAATTCCCCAGTTAATATTCCATACCACTTGTCTCATGAAGAATCTTCTTTTCCCAATAATCCCTCCCTTATCCCTTGAACTATCGAGAGTTGCTGAAGAGCCAAGAAATTGAGCAGATTTGAATGAATTTAAGTTTATAGCACAAAATTTCAGAGAGACCCTTGATGCTTTTTAACAATCCTTCATTTCTCCTTCCTGAATTTGTGACTTCCCCAGGGTTAAATGACATAGCCTTAATTGTACTTAGCACAGTGCCTGGCACATAATAGGTGATTAGTAAATGTTGATTGATTGATAGTCAGTATGTATTCGAGATAGAATGTGAACATAAGACTTCTTCCTGAGTCCAAGTCAGTTCTCTAACCCCTATTTCCATCTGTGATTGCGCAGACCTTCAGTGGCACTGGATGGTTCCTCTTCCCTGTCTTTAAATGTGGGAATTTGTTTGGAACCTTCTTGTCCTCTCTTTCTACATGGCTCTCACTTTCGCCTCTCTGCAGATGAGCCCCAAATCTATTTCTCTAGCCTCTGTGCTAAGATCCAGAACCGCACCTCCTACTCCTTAAAAGACACCTTGACCTAGTGGCCCCACTGGCACCTGAAACTCAGTGTATCCCAAACTGAGCTTTTTACCATCTCCTTCCTTCATACTTGGTCCTACTTCTGACATCATTCAACTTCCTATGTTTGGAAATTTGATGTTTTCCCTTCAACGTCACTTTTGACATCTGATTATAAATTCTACCTTCAGAATATCTCTCAAGTCTTTCCCTTTCTCTTCATTCCCATTATTACCACCCTAGGAAAGTCCTATTTCCCCTCACATCCCACCTTCATTCCTTCTTTCCTTATTCCAAATCACCCTTCATAACACTACTAAACTAATCTTTCTTCTACACCAATATGACCTTTGACTCTCCTAGTCAAAACCCATCAGTGGCTCACTCCATGTTGCCTCCTGAATAAAGTTCAAGCTCAGTCTGTCATTCCAGGTGCTCACAATCTGCAGTCACCCTCAATCTCTCCCTTTGTCCCATATTTCCTTCTCCAGCTAAATGTGATCCCTCACTTCTCTACACTCCACACTCGCTGACTTCTTTGTCTTCAATCAAGCTAATCTTTACCCTGGAAATGCCTTTCACTCTCACTTCTTCCTCTGGTTATATTCCTACCCATCCTTTCAAACGGGACTCAAATGCTACCTCCTCCAAGAAGACTTTCTTGATCACAGTTGACTGTGGGTTTTTCCCCATCACTTTTTTTACGCCTCTTTTGGAACGACTTAGATAACGTTGATGTAAGAGTTCCATCCCCGTACTAGTCCTTAAACTCCATGAGGGAATATATTGTGCTTTAGCCTCTTCAGGTCCCCCTGAAGGTGAATGTTTTTCCCCTCTGTTGATTATCGACAATTTATTCTTCTGTGTCTTATTTGTTGTCTGCATCTTTTCTGTCCCTAGACTTTGAGCTCCTTGAGAGAAGGGACTGGATTTTTTGTTTGTTGGTTGGTTGGTTTGGGGTTTTTTGCCTTTCTTTGTATTTCCAGAACTTAGCACAGTGTTCGGTACACAGTAGGCACTTAATAAAGGGGGAAAAGGGAGGGAGCAAGGGAAGGGAATGGACATTTACACAGTGATAGGGCATTGGGCCTGGAGTCAAGAGCACCTGAATTCAAATGTGACCTCAGATTAGCTGTGTGACCCTGGACAAGTCACTTAACCCTGTTTGCCTCAGTTTCCTCATCTGTAAAATAAGCTGAAGAAGAAAGTAGCAAACCACTTTAGTATCCTTGCCAATAAAACCCAAAATGGGGTCATGAAGAGTCAGACATGACTGAAAAATGACTAAAAGTCCCCAAAACTAACAATGTTCTAGTCACTATGCTAAGTGTTTTTTACAAATATTATCTCATTCAAACCTAACAACAATCCTAGGAGGTAAGTGCTGTTATTATCCCCATCTTACAGTTGAGGAAACTAAGGCAAATAGATGTTAAGTGACCTGCCCAGGATCACAAGCTAGTAAGTTACTGAAGTTGGATTTGAACTCAGGTCTTCCTGACTCCAGGCCCGGTGCTCTATCCACTGCACCACAAGCTGCTAAATGTTATTTCAAATATCTAATTGAATAATAAACTATTCAAGCTTTATTTCTTCTCCAGTATTTGGAACAGGAATCTGCAAATAGCAAGTGCATAATAAATATTTACTGAATTGAATAATCAGAACTCCTTCTGCAATTTAATCTAACACACATTTTAAAGTGCCTACTGTGTGAATCATGCTTAATATTGATAGGAACCATTTAGAACTTGCTCTCTAAAAGCCTATAATTGAGTGGGGGGGGAGGGGAAAAACTTTTACAAAAGTATACTAGAAGAGGTTGTAAGAGGAGTGTAATAGAGAAGTGTCAGAAAGGCATCATGGCTGTAATAAACCATTCAGCTTGTAGTTATAGATTAGTATCTATTGGTATGCAATTATCGAGTTTACATCTGGAAAGGACCTTACAATCTTATCCAGTCCCTTAATTGTACATGTGATAAAACTAATGGCAAAGAAGATTAAGAGTAAATACTTTCACTGGAATTTGAACCAGGACCCTCTGACTCTGAATCCAGTCCTTTTTCCTCTGTTTTGTTTCTTTGGGATAAAGTACTGCGTCAGGGGTCAGGAAGACCCGAGTTCAAATCTAGCCTCAAGCACTTACTAATCAATAAACATTTATTAAGAGCTTATTGTGTACCAGGCACTGTACTAAGTGCTGAGAATACAAAAAGAGGCAAAAGACAGTCCCTGTCCTCAAGGTGCCTAAAATATAACTGGGGACATAACAATCAACACATATGTACAAATAAGCTATATGTGTATTAAATAAGAAGCAATTAACAGAGGGAACGGATTAGAATTTGGAAGAGTTAGGAAAAGCTTCCTGCAAAAAGATGAGATTTTAGGTGGGACTTAAAGGAAGCCAGGGAGGTGGAATTGAGGAGGGAGAATATTCCAGGCATGGTAGAGAGTCAGAGCGAATGCCCAGAGCTGAGACATGGATTGTCTTGTTTGTGGAACAGTCAGGATGCCAGAGTCACCAGATCAAAGTGTATGAGTCAGGAAGTAAGGTGTAAAAAGACTAGAAAAGTAGGAGGAGGCTAGCTTATGAAGGACTTTGAATGCCAAACAAAGGAGTTTGTATTTGATCCCAGAGGCAACAGGGAGCCACTGGAGTTTTTGAGTGGGGCGGGAGGGGAGTGACATAATTGGACTTGAGATTTAGGAAAATCATTTTGACAGCTAAATGGAGGATGAAATGGAATGGGGAGAGACTTGAGGCTGGCACACATCATCAGTTATTGCAATAGTTCAGGTGTGAAGTGATGAGAGGCCTACATCACTTTGGTGGCAGTGTCAGAAGAGAGGGGCACAAATAGGAGGGGAAATTGCAAAGGTGAAATTGCCAGGCCATGGCAACATCTTGGATATGGAGGGTGAGAGATAGTGAAGAGTCCAGGGTGACACCTAGTTGTGAGCCTGAGGGACTGGGAGGATGGTCGCATCCTCTACAACAATAGGGAAGGTAGGGGTAGGGCAAAAAAAGGGAGTAGTTAGGGAGAAAGGTAATGTGTTCAGTTTTGGACATACTGAATTTTAGATGTGTACTGGATATAAAGTTCAAGATGTATGAAAGGCATCCAATTCAATATGTCTGAAAGTTGGAGATGCCAGATTGGAGGTCAGTAGACAGCCTGGGGCAAAATTTGAGAAGCAGCATAGAGATGGTAATTAAATTCATGGGAGCTGATGAGATCACCAAGTGTATAGTATAGAAGGAGAAGAAGACCCAGGTTCACACTTACTAACTGTGTGAATTTGGAGAAGTCATTAAACCTCTGTCTGACTCAGTTTCCTTAAGTACTTAAAAAAAAAAAGGATAATAATAATTCCTCCTCCCAGGGTTGGTTACCCCGGAATTTCCTTAAAATTGTGCAAAAGTTGAATGAGCTGTCTCAGATATTAGTGAGTTCGTTATCATTGGAGGTTGTAGAATCATAGATTTAGAGCTGGAAGGGACCTTTGGGCATCAAGGCCAACCCTCTCATTTTACTGATGAGGAAACTAAGGCACAGAAAGACCTTGCCCTAGGTCACATAAGTAGTGTCTGATGTACAAGTGGAGCACAAGTCTTCCTAATCCAAATTCCAAAACGTGTGTCCTATCCATCATACTAGAGGCTAGATGACCACTGGCCCAGGGATGCTGTGTACATAATATTTATGCATTGGCTATTGGTTAGACAAGATGACCTTTGAGGTTCCTTCCAGACCTTCAATTCTATGATAATGTAAAAGAATCAATGAACATAATCTAATGGGCTAAGCTAAATCGGTCAGAAGAAAATCATACCACAGGATGGTAACTTCCCCTGCTGTCGAGTCCCATAGATTTCTTTCCCATCGGCATCCACACACCAGCACAGTCCTCCCTGTTGGCACTGTACTGGCTGATAGTCTCCATTGTCCCTGCAGGATGGAGTATAGGCATGCCCAAAGCTATCTGCTGCCAACCTCTCAACCTCACACTTTGTTGGACCTGTGGAAAAATCCATACAATGAAGAGGAAAATTCTGAAAAGAGTTTCAACATGTGTTGCATTGCATTTGGCAAGATCCTAGTTAGAGATAGGAATTGGGTCTGTACTACTACTGATAATAGGTAATTCCCAGAGGAGGAAAATACCTCTACCAATCTAGGTGAGCATCTTCTCTGCAATTTACAGTCTTATACAATACTGAAAGGTGGAGTGATTGACCCATACTCCCACATTAAGTATATGTTACAGGTGGAACTTGAAACCACGTTTTTCCTTATCAAGTTCTATCCACCACACTTCCTCCACAGTCTTACTAAGGTACTCAACAAAGGCCTAGACTTGGAGTTACAATATCTGATTTAATGTTGATGTGACCTTGGACAAATCCCCTCAGTTCCCTAAACCTCAGTCTTCTCATCTCTAAATTGGGAATAACAATACTTATACTTCTTGACTTCCAAAGTTAGAGGCAGGAAAGCTTTCTATAAATGGGAGCCATTGGGGAGTTTGTGGCTTTTGTTTGCATGGAGCTTTTAAATCACCAGTGTAAACACCAACTAAAAAGACCAGAGTCATCAAGCCTATAATTACTTCCTTATCCAAATAGCTCCCTTCTGGACCTCCAAAGCAAAAATACACACATCTTTTACCAGCTTATTACTTACATCGGAATCTTCCAGAGGTGACTAAGTGAACTGCTAGAAACCGTCTCTGAAGTATCCGGTACAGGGTGGTTTCTTCAAAGGTGGGAGCAGGATCCAGACCAGCAAAAATGGTGTCATAAACTTCATCCAGCAGTAACTCTAATCCTGGCAAAGGAGGATATACATCTGAAGACAAAAGGATCGTTCAAAGAAGACCCCTCCCCAATTATCCTAGACAAAGAAATCCAAAAAGAGATATGGTACTCATGGCCATAACAAGATCCCAGGACATACTCATACCTGCAGTTTACTCAGTTCCTGAATCTCAGATGTGATGACAACTCCTATATCTGTACCACTGCCATCAATTTGGATGTGTCCTACAAGGATCTCAGTTTTTCCCACCCACTCATCTTCCCTCAGTTTCTCCTGTCCTCAAAATAAATTTTCTTCTCTGAGGATAGAAGTTGAGTCTTTCCAAAGCATTTGATTGGCAAATAAGAGAATCTTGCACTTATGTAATTGATTTTTTGAACCCAGGTGCAGAGGTTTACATTAATCCCAGTTAAGTTTTAAATATAGTCCCTCCCTACCCTTCTATTACCTGGAGTGCCCTCACCTGTCTCTGCTAGTTCCCGTCCCTGACTGTCAGCACAGTGGCAATACCCAGAAACTTCTGGGAATCTGCTTCTGAAGGAACTGAATGTCCAAAATGCCTCTGGGAACCTAAAATGGAATTTGATTAAAAATTATCATTTTCTATCCTTCAGACTTAATGAACTCTTTCTGGATAAACAGGTAAAAGAAGCCCAGTATAACGCGAGCCCCTTGAGGAGAAGGACGTACTAAATAGATTTTAATTGAATTGGTCTTCATTTTATCTTTACTATAGTAAATTTGTTATTTTCTAATGGGGAAAGAAAGAAAAAAAATGACCAAGATTTCTCCCCTATAAAATAAATCTGTGTTATCTTGCTCAGCACAGACAGAATTACCTATTCATTATCAGTTTCAGTTATTTTTCCTCCCACAAACATTTCTTGGCAAATCCAGCTAGAAACAGGTCATGAAAACCTTTGTCACTTATTTCCAAGTTAGACAATAACTCAGAAGATTTTACACCTTAGGAAGCTTTGAAAATATACTTCACATGTTACAGACTCTCATTGCTGGACACTGAGCAATCTTGGGAGCCTTTAAAGCTTCCCTGAATGAAAGTATCAGATTCTACCGGAGGAAGCTGTAAGATGGGAATTCCATAGGACCATCACAAAAACATGTAGCATAAGGAAAAGACACTGAAAAGGGACTTTGATAAATTGATGACAGGTATGTCTTATTCCAATAAACATCTCATTCCAGGGAGGATTGACAAAAGAGTCATAACTGTTGTTTTCTACAAAGAGCAAATTAACCCAAAGAAACCAATCCACAGATCAGAGACCAAAGGGATACAGACCGGTACGGAGAAATATTGCACATGTTTTTGTCCATTCACAGGTAAGGCAGAACTGAGTATGCTCATGAAAGAAAAAGCCAGTGGTGGATTTTCTTTTCATTTGTAGTTAATGATGATGCCTTTTACACTAATTCATCTTCATTGATAATCTGATAATCCTGATAATCTATTATCAGGATATATTATATTATATTATATTGTCATAATATGTTGAAGTGTACTCAGGACCACCATGTGCTTCTTCATGACCCTTTGAGTAAGTAGTTTTAATTTTTCAGAGACCACAGTGCTCCATATATACTTACCACCATACTAAGTCATTAAAAAAATTGGTATTGAAAGTTGTACCCAAATTTGTTTCATGGAGAAGCTTAGGGTCATTATTAGAACTTTTCCCGTAGTTAATCTACTTCACTCTTCCCCTGTTCAATTTTAATTCCAGGTCCAATTCATTTTTCACTTGCAGTGTCTACACAAGATATCCAAGAGACAAATAGATATATAGATAGACAGACAGACAGACAAACAGACAGACAGACAGATAGGAGAAAGAAAGAAGGAAAGAAAGAATGACAAAGACAGAAAAAAGAAGGAAGGAAAGAAGGAAAGAAAAAGAAAGGAAGAAATGCATGTTTGAGTGTACGTGCATATGTATATATGCATACTAATGGATGTGCTTTTTAAGTTGTACATCCAATTTTGTAGCATGGTCTGGACAACAAGTATTTATTACCCTTTCTATTTTCCTGTATGAATGAACTAGGCATCTCGTTTCGGAGGGCTTGATGTAATCAACACAATGTCAATCACCAAGAAGAGCATTGGGAGGATCTAACCATGAAGAACCTCTCTCCAACTTGGACTCTTTGTGGAATTTCCTCTGTGATGTTGGCAATACTTCTGGCAAACTCTCTAAACTTTTTGCCTCTGTGACATGGATGAAGGTCAAAGCATCATAGAATTTTAGGTCTAGAACTGGAAAGTAACTCAGAGGCCATCTAGCCCAACCCCCCAATCTTATAGAAGAAGAAACTAAGGTCATGCTGGTAATATGCTTCAGAGATAGGATTTGAACCCAAGTCCTCCAACATTGGCAACTACGTGACACAATGGATAGAGTGCTGGGCCTTGACTCAGGAAGATCTGAATTCAAATCTGGCCTCAGACCCTTACTAGCTGTGTGACCCTGGGCAAGTCACTTAACCCTGTTTGCCTCAGTTTCCTAATTTATAAAATGAGCTGGAAAAGGAAATGGCAAACCACTCTAATATCTTTGCCAAGAAAATCCCATGTGGAGTCACAAAGACTTGGATATGACTGAATGACAAACCTCCAACATTAGTTATTGGTTAGCTGTGTACAACGTTAGCTGTGTTCTAATTCAAGATATTGGAGAAACAATATGGTTTCGTGGATAAAGGGCTGGCTTTGGAGGCAGAAAGGCCTGAGTTCAAGTCTTGCACATGACACATGTTAATGTTACAACTGTGGACAATTGGCTAGACTTTTCAGTGCATTATGCATGTGTCAAAGACTATTAAGTTACAGACGTTGATGCCAATCTGCGTCAGTAGAGGATGTTCTCATAATGGAAGGACCTGACCCCAATGAAATCACAGGTCCAAACAAAAAATTCATCCATAAAATTCTGACATGAAAGGGTATGCTTACATAAAAGGAGGAGAGAAGACAAGTAGTAATTTTTACAATAACAACCATAATAATTATTGCTGTTCTAGGTATTGTTATATTAGAATGCAAATTTAGGATACTAATGTGTCAACATGTCAATGACCTATGATTTTGTGGAAAATTCCTTTTCCCATGCAGATCACAATCTATGTATATGATTTAGTCTTAGAGCCTGAGTCAAGCATCCTACCCATCATGCCATGCTGTCCCTCTCTATACTAATAAATGAAACACATTTTGAATGAATTTAGCATTTTATGACAATGATAATAAAATTAATGATGATAATTTGGGTATGTAGAGGGGAGTAAAGACAAAGATTGAGAGAGGGAAATGGGGAGAGAGGGAGGAGAGGTCGGAAAAAAGAAAGGGGGCAGGGAGAGAGGGAAGAAGGAAGAGAAAGAGGGAAGGAGGGAGGGAGAGAGGGGAGGAAAGAGAGAGAGAGACAGGAGGAAGGAAGAAGGGAAAATTATCTATTATAGATAAAGCAACTTCAGCTGTCTCCAAGGTCTGGGACATTCAGATGCCAAAAGAAGGTGTTTTTAAAAGGAAGGATGTGGAGGAGGAGAGTTGGCATTTTTTGAGACTTGGAGCTGGGAAGAGGACCACAGTTATAGCACAATGAGGTGAGAGGGCAGGAGGCTTACCTAGCTAGACTAGAGGACCTAGGCTTATTAGAAGATAGTGGTCAGAAAAGGAGGGGTCAGTTGTTTAGAGTATCCTTCATTCATTCAAACATTTATCAACTCCCTGTTAAGTCAATGAAAAAAATGATGTAGTGGAGAGGTCAGTCTTGGAGTCAGGAAGACCTCATTTCAAGTCCTTCCCTTGACACATATTAGCTGTGTAACCATAGACGAATCATTAAATTTCTTAGGGTCCTAGTCAACTCTCTGAGACACATGAAACCCCAAAGAAATTGCTGATTTGCATCAATAGAAGGAATTTCCACATTGGGAGTTTCCTTACACCAAGGAAATCACAGATCCAGGACCTCCCCCCCCCCCCAAAAAGGCAACTTTTGGTGCTAGGGCCAGGCAAAGATAACCAAGCTTTCGATGGCCAGTCACAGAAGCATAGACTATTAGTTCTAGAAGGAAATATAAAAATCATCTTTAATCCAACCCCTTCATTTTCCAGGAAACTGAATGAGGCCCAGAAGGGGGGAGTGATGATGGTAACAAAGCTAGCTTAATCGTCAGAGCCTGGGCCTCTGTCTCCCAAACCATTACTTTTGAGGACATCCTCATTGCCTCTCTGCCTTTAAATGGAACAATCAGGATTCAGCTGAAATGATACCTGTTGCTAAGGAAATCAGAAAGAGGCTGGTTGCCAAGGGAAATGAGGCTGGTTGCCAAGGGAACGGAATGAGGCTGTAGAATGGTTGGTTCACTCACTTCACTAAGGTTAAAGTAATAGGGTCTAGGCAGCTACAGGATTCTTATGGTTAGAGTCTAGACAGTGTTGTTGGGAGGTTCAAAGAAAATAGGGTTTGTGACTTTAAAGTGCTATGCAAATGTCAAGTATTCTCATTAAAGAGGTGCCTGAGGCTCACAGTTGCAGAAGTTTGGTACAGGAGTCAAAGGACCATGGTTCAAATCTCACCTTTGATGTTAGCTATCTGAGTGACTTTGGGTAAGTCATTTAAACCCCTCAACTCTCAGTTGCTTTTGTTTGTTTATGCCAAGTCGTTTCAGTTGTGTTTGACTCTTTGTGACCCCATTTGGGGTTTTCTTGGCAAAGATACTGGAGTGATTTACCATTCCCTTCCTCAACTCATTTTACAGATGAGGAAACTGAGGCAAACAGAGTGAAGGGATTTGCCCAAGATCATACAGCTAGTGTCTGAGACCAGATTTCAACTCAGGTTTTTCTGACTCCAGGCTCAGCGCTCTATCCACTGTGCCACCCAGCTGCTCCAATAGACATTTAGACCAATCCCCTGCTCAGCACTTGGTCTAAATTAGCAGTCTAAATTGTATCTAAATTAGGCCAATTTAAAATCCACTAATTGGTCTAAATAATAAATAGTATAAACAGTTGATTATAAATTGATCTAATCTACTGGATTAGCAGTGGCTAATCCTCTAGTTCCCTATCCTGGCCACAGAGAAAGAATGAAAGAGCCAACCAACAAAAATATAAGAAGCATCTCCTCTGAGCAAGCTGATGTGATAAGCATCTTGGGGTTACCAAAAGGTACCTTTGCAGGCTCACAAGGAGCCTATAATCAAAATTGCAAGACAAGATACAAACACATGAGAAGGAGGTGGTACGGGAGAAGTGAAAAGAGCATTGGGCTAATGGTCAGGCAGAAAGGAGATCTAAAGTAGATTATAACCTTGGGCAGGCTGCAATTCAGGATTTTATGTCTGTTCCATAAACCATTACCTTGTGATAAAGCTTTACCTTGGAGGAATAGTTGGGAAGCTCACTCCAGCCTGGTATCTTGAAGCTTCCTATTTTAATTAATTATTATTGCTAAGCAGGTGAAACCAGGCTTCATACTCAGACCTTCTAATTCCAGATCCTGGGTTTTACCCACTATATCACATCAACTTATACAGTGCTTTGAGGTTACAAAGTGCTGTGTGCGTTTGATGTTCACAATGTGATTCAGGTATGTACAAATACAACTTTGATTTTACTCACTCTGAGTGAGGCTCAAGAGACAAAGTTCCCTTGTCCCAGTCAGAAAATGTGAAAAGGAAGATTCTTCCTTCCTCTAAGCCCAATGCTATTTCCACAAGGAATAAGTTCAGAACACAAGTTGGCAGTACTTAGGGAAAACTACCCTTGAACATGCCATCCAGTGAAACAGAAGCTCTGGGTGGGAAAGCAAACCTAGGAACAGCACGATGTCCCCTTCTGACTTGGTTAATCACTATTTTCCATTGCAGTGCAATGACTGACCACTTCAAAAGCTTCACTCGCCAAAATTACTGCTTGCTATGTTTGGCTTCCTAGAATCCACCACTCTTCCCATGGCCTCCTACCTGAAGGAGACTTTATTCCCGGACATATTGCTATAAAAAATAAAAAGGATCACATCTCATGGAAGAACATATAGATATTGATATCTCTGTGTTGATATCTATGTATCGATATCAATATCGATACATGCAACATATATATAGAAATACATAAACATAGATATACTTACATATAAAGATATAAATATAGATGTAATTTCAATTCTATCAACTATGGTAGAGACATTCTAATTCCTGGACTGCCCCCTAGTGGAAATAAGCAGAAAGTGTCTCTAGACAAGACTGGGTATGGTAGAATCTATCTTTTTCATCCAAGTCATCAATCAATCAATCAACATTGATTAAGTGCCAGGTACTGTATTAAGCTCTGGGGATACAAAAAGAGGCAAAATACAGTCCCTGCCTTCAAGGAGCTTACAACTTAATGAGGGAGACAAAATGCTAACAAATATAGGTAAAGCAAGGCATATGAAGGACAAATAGGAAATAATCAATGAAAATGAGAAAAGTTGGAGAAGACTTCCCATAGAAGGTGGGATTTTAGTTCCTTTAGTAAAGGAAGCCAGGGAGGTCAGTAGTTGAAGTGGTCATCCCACAATGGAAATGACCTTAGAAGTTAGTGAAACTATATGTTTATAGCATAATTAGAAACTAGAAAGAATTTTTCATCAACCCACATCACCAATAGGATAGAGATCTGCCTGAAAGTTCTCATGTGCTCCTAAAACTAGTTATTATTTTGGTCTATTGCTAGAACCAGTTTAAGTTCAGTGGGGGGATGGAAGAACCTCTCTATGTTTCAGTTTCCACATCTGTAAAATGGAGATAATAATCTTTTACATATAAGCTTTTCCAGGTTGTTGTGAGGATCAAATGAGGGTTTGGATACCAAAAAAAAGCTTTTCAACAATAAAGTAGGTTAGAATAAATGGAGACTATTATTAATATTTAGTGGAATTGAGTGCCACATAGATAAACCTTGTATTAGATTTCACATGCTGGGTAGAAATGAACCTTAGAGGTCATCTGCTCTAACTTCTTCCTTTTATGGATGAGGAAACAGAGGTCTAGAGAGAAGTGATTTGCTTAAGATCATATATCTGCCCTGAGGATAAAACACAAACTCCTTATTCTTGCAGTTAGAGCACACCACAGTCTGCCTGGGGCAGCTAGGCGGCACAATGGATAGAGCGCTGGGCCTGAAGTCAGGAAGACTCGTCTTCTTGAATTCAAATCCAGCCTCAGACCCTGACTACTATGTGATCCTAAGCAAATCACTTCCCCCTGTTTGCCTCAGTTTCCTCATCTATAAAATGAGCTGGAGAAGGAAATGACAAACCACTCCAGGATCTTTGCCAGGAAAACTCCAAACAGATCACGCAGAGCTGGACAGGACTGACTGAAGAACAACAGCCTTTATAATGGAAGCTGGGCAATGTGATCTATTGCTAATCTTTTGGCCTAGGGCCATAACTGAAAATCACAGCCAAAAAAGGTTCAGGTAACTACCATGAGATGAAAAGAGATGATCTGGGCAGCCAGGTTTTTTTTATGCAAACTCCCCCTACCTGTTATAGCTATGAACTAGATCAAAAACCATCCTATCTGTAGTGTTGGCAAATTTGCACTGCACTGGCATAAACTCTCCATCAGATGAACATTGAGAGGGTGACTTTCCTCCCACGCCATGAAGGATGCGGCGATTTCTAATCTCACAGCTCCTTGGACCTGGTGGGAAATTTAAAAAAGAATAGAGAAGTTGTAAAAGTGTTTATTCTTTAAGTCAAAAATATAAATAAATACATTCACTCTACATGTGATCATATGGCACAATAAAAAAACAGAAATTGGTGAATATCTACAATAAGAAAGAATAATCAACAAATTCATTCATGAGGATCCTGACTATACTTTATCATCAGTCAAATATTGAATGTCTATCGGTTTAGGAAAGTTAATTTAAGTAAGATATTTTTTCCTCAATCAAGGTTATTTATTGAGCATGAATAAAGGAATAGATGTTTGAATTTTTACATTTTTACAATGTGTTGAAGTATCATGTGTGGGGTATCCCAAACGTCTTAGTGCAGTTACCTTAATGCACTAAGACTCTCCATTTTGAGTATTACTTTCTCAGTCAGTACTATATTGTCATGAAAACAATTCTGATTCAAGCTAACAGAACAATTAGCCTTTAAGATTGAAGCATTAAATGTAAACATACTCAGCATGTGGTGCTAAATACCACTCACATCTTGTTGGCTTTCCCCGCTGCCGGGTCCCATATACTTCCATTCCTTCATAATCCACACACCAGCACTGTACCATGCCCAGATCACACTGCACTAGCTCGTATTCTCCTGAATCTTGACACTGAGGGAGGTAGGAGGTGGTGGTGCTATTGATGTAGCTGCTTACCAAGATCTGCTGTTTTTGGAGCTGGCAAAAAGATAGACCTAAGCAAACAAGAAACCAATTGAGAGGAGGAGGAAGAGGACAGTAACAAAAAATAGTTAGATGAAGCCATTATGCCCATTTTACAGATAAAGAAACTGAGGACCAGGTAAGTTAAATGACTGATCCAAGACCACACAATTATTGTTGTTTTTTCAGTTATGTCCAATGCTTCATGACCCCATTTGAGGTTTTCTTGGTAAAGATACTGGAGTGGTTTGCCATTTCCTTTTCCAGCTCATTTTGCACATGAGGAAACTGAGGCAAACAGGATTAAATGACTTGCCCAGGGTCACACAACTATTAAGGGTCTGAGGCTAGATTTGAACTCAGGAAGCTTAGTCTTTCTGACTCCAGGTCCAGTGCTCTGACTAGGTACAGGGTTTGAAAACCCCCTCCTTTGAACTGTTTTACTTGGTCAAGGAAGTCTAGCAGTCTCCTGAGCCTATAATCCTATCAACTTGCCTTTCTCTATGGCCTACACCCAATCTCCCAATTCTCTATTACCTTTAATTTAGACCAGCCCTCTATTACCTCCCCTTGGCCCCTGGCCACTTCCCACCCTGGATGGTATCTAGACCCCCCTTTTACCTCCCAGTCACTCCCATCAAGATCTTCCCAGACCCCTCCTCCAGTCACTCCAAACTGCTTGGCAACTTCTGGATCCCTCCCATGGTCTTTCTGTATATAAGAATCATCTTGTCTCCATTAAGGAACTGAGATTCTTAGCCACTGCTCAGATTCCTTAAGAACCTAGCCAAGGGCTCAGATTCTTATAATCTAGCCAACAGCTCACAAATGTTCAGATTCCTTAAGAGTCTAGCCAATATGGTGGATCTTTAATAAATCTTGTCTTTGGCTGAAAGAAGGCTTGGGTCAAATTCATTCAGGCAAGACTCACATGTTATTTTGGGGTCCCAGCACTCCTAAACCTCAACATATTCACTGCACCACCTAGCTGCTCCATGCAATTATAGGACATGGCAAAGCTAGGCTATGAACCAAGTCTCCTCGCTCCAAATTGACCACGTGGACAAATCCATGAAGAATGTAAGCTCACATTAACCCACTCTGAGGTCTTTGGGTTTTTGAGCAAGGGAAAAAGCTAGTTTGGGAGAATGTTGTATATATAGATCAATGTAGTGATTTTAATCCTGAATTCTAAAGTAGTTTTACAGCAATGAAGTTCTCATTGTTCCCAGGAACTCTGATCCAGTGAACCTGGCTTCCAAGCAATTTAACCTTTCAGAGTCTAGGCTCTTTCATTTGTAAAATGAGAAAAGTAGAAGAAAACAAACTATTCTTCCTAGCAACCAGATGGTGCAGTGAATAGAGTGCCAGGTCTGGAGTCAGAAAGACTCGTCTTCCTGAATTCAATCCTGCCTCAGTCAGTTACAAGCTGTGTGTTCCTAGGCAAGTCACTTAACTTTATTTGCCTCAGTTTCCTCATCTGTAAAATGAGCTGGAGAAGGAAATGGCAAACTGCTCCAGTATCTCCACCAAAAAAAAAAAACCAAAAACACCCCAAAACCCAAAAAAACAAATGGGGTCATGAAGAGTTGGACACAACCGGAAATGACTGGGCAAAAACATTCTTTCTAGCTCTATGATTTCACAATGGGACTAATGGGATCATTGTTAAATTTATGTACTAGTATCAGGGCTGTTTCTAAGGGATCATGGAATCCAAAACTATCTCCCGAGTGGTGTGAACAGTACTGAGCAAATGATATTTAATCTCCCTGGAGTGACCTCTCCCAACAACTAAAATGAGGTGAACCAGATACACAAAAGAACCAAGAGTCTTGATAGGAAACAAAGTTGTGAAAGGACAAGCTGGGAGATGGGAGACTGGGGGACTGGGGGAATGGGGAGGGTGAATATGGTGGCAATGTCAGAGGAGGGCAGAGGAGTGTGATCAAGGGAAGTCATATAGAAGAGGAATTAGGCTTGTTTTATTTGTCCCCAGAGGGAAGGGATTCGGAGAAATGAACAGAAGATGAGTGAGCAGAAAATGAACAAATGAACAAATGAAAATGAACAGAACAAAGAAGGACTTTGGTTCTATGTGAACACAAACTCAAGGGAGAGCTGCCCAGAGGTAGAAAAGGTTGCTCTAGCAGGGGTGGTGATTTTCCTGTCAATGAAGATGTATAGGCAAAAGATGTGTAACCATCAGTCAGAGATGTCTTAAAGGATATCTCTGCTTGGGTACTGAGACTCTTTCCAATTCTGAGATTTTTTTTGACTCTTATATTTTCAATTCCATGGTGTTGTTGGGTGGACAAGATCACTTAGCATATCATAGGTGAGATTTGAACCCAGATTCTCTGATTTAGGAGTCTGTGTCTTTTCTACCATACCACATGTATCGTCTAAACTTTGCTCTGTAGCACCTAGCGCAACGTTCTTCTTGTTGTAGGCATTTCGTAAACGTTTGTTGAACAAATGAATGAAATATATATGTTAGGATGAATGTCTGCTATTACATGTAATCCTTTTCAAATTAGATCTCTGTTCCAAAAGCCCCTAAGCAGGTAGAATCCCTCTCTCCCATTAAGACACAGCTCAGGCACCATCTTCTGCATAAAGTTTTTCTGCATTTCTGCGATTTTTAGTCCCCTCCCTCCCAAGCTACTTTGTATTTTACTATTTTATGTGTATGTATGTATGTATGTATGCATGCATGTATACATATATAAACTCTATATTTGCAGTGATTATATTTTTATATGCACTTGTTGTCACCTCCCGTTAGAATGAAAGACCATTGTGAGTTGGGATAGTTTCGTTCTTTGTACTTTTACCCCCAGAGCCTATGGCAGTATCTGACACATGGCAAGCACTTACTAAATGCTTGTTGATTGGTTGAGGTGAAAAATGGAAATTTCCTATCATTGTCTGATTGTCTCTTCCCACATGTTATGGTCCTGCTTTCATACTTACAGGCGGCTGGCAGTCCTGCCTGCTTACTGCCCGGTACTTCTTTTCCTTCAGCATCCACACACCAGCATGAAAGGCCATCGTTGCTACATTGTACATTCCTGGAGAGGAAAAAAACATGGTGGAGTGGAATTCTCTTTTCAGTTCTCAATGCTATGAGAGCAGTTGTCTTGTCTTTGATTTTTATAAAAAAAAATGTTCAAGCTGAAATAAAAATTCCCTCACAGCACTATGAAAAGACAAATAAATACAGAGTGGAGGGAGAGAGAGGGATAGAGACACAAAGAAAGGGGAAAGGAGGGAGGAAGAAGAGAAGAGGGGTTTCTATTTTATTCTCTATTTGGTGTATGCACACACATACTTTATAAATATATATATATATGTATATATATATATATACACATACATACATACATATACGTGTGTATACTTTGGTTCTCGAAGAGGACCAGAATGACATCACTGTGCTGAGTCAAATTACCATGTGCTGGACTCTGGCTGATCAGACCAATAAGAGCTCGGAATGTTCTACCACCAACTGGGCACAAATAGTCCATGTGAACGTTTGGGGTAGATTCTCTAAATTTGTCCATTCTGCATTTCCTTTGAGCTGTTTCAGTTCTGCTTTGCTCATTCTGCACAGCACCTTCTACACACACACACACACACATATGTGTATACATATAGAAAGACAGAAAGGGTGACAGCTAGGTGGTGCAATGGACAGAGTACCCGCCCTGAAGTCAGGAGAACCTGAGTTCAAAGCCAGCCTCAGACACATGATACTCACTAGCCACGTGACCCTGAGCAAGTCACTTAACCCAATCACCTCACCAAAAAAAAAAAAAAAAAAAAAAGACAGAAAGAGAGAGACATAAATATGGAGATAGAGAGACAGACAGAGACAGAGGCAGAAAAAGAGGCAGAGGGACAGAGGAGAAGAAAAAAGAGGAGAGGGAGAAGGCAGTAGCACTAGCAAGGTTTCAAATTGGATAAAAGAAGAAAGAGGGATGGAGGAGAAGGAGAAGGAAAAAAAGATATAATGGGAACAAGATGTAAGAGAGGGAACACTGCATTGGGAATCAGGAGAGACAAATTCTTTCTTATGTTTGAACATTGATACTTTCCAAAGGTCTCTCATTGGCCCTGTTCTCTTCTCTTTACTATACCATATTCTCTCCCTTGATGATCTCTTTCACTCATATGGCTTTAACTACATAAATCTCTCTATCTCTGTCTCCATCTTTCTCTCTCTCTGTGTCTCTGTCTGTCTCTGTCTCTGTCTCTGTCTCTCTCAGTCACTCTCTCTGTCTCTTTCATTCTCTATCTTGTTCTCTATTTCTATCTCTCAATCATATACCACTCAATTATGTAGTTTGGGAACTTTAACTCCACAAACTATGACATGCATTGTCATATCTCAATTCCCACATTCCTCTGCTTAACAAAAGAAATTAAAGCTTTGCTAAGACTAAAAATTAATTTGGCAATAAAGTAAATTTTATTTTGTAAACGTTGCTGACAGTTCCTGAGATAACTGCAGCTATACTGGGGTAGCACCAAGCCTGGGAATCTGCCCCATCCACATGTCATCTGGTGTCCTAACCTGATAGCTGCAGAATCATGGAATACTGATTTTATAGTTAAAATAAACCTCAGGATGATTGTGTTCAACTCCCTCATTTTTTCAGATCAGCAAAAAACAAACAAACAAACAAAAAACAAAAAACTCAAAGAAGTGCCTTGCCTAAAGTCACACAGTAAATGGTAAAGGTGAGACTAGAATCAGATCTTCTAGCCCAAAGGTCAGGGACCTTACAAAAGAATAATTCACATTTCTACAAAACACATTACCCCTCTCCCAGCCCAGGCCTCTCAACTCTTCTCTACAGCCTCTGGCCTCCTTTCAGAAGTAATAATTTTACTTAACATTTTTAGGATTATTATTCAGAATTCTATTACAATTTAATTTTATGAGAATAATTTTGATAGATATGAGTGTTGAATTTCCTCTCAAAAATCCATGTACTTGATAGATCTCAACTAATACTAAATGTATTATGTTCATTTCTGAGCTAAGAATATTTCCTATAGTAAAAGTTCCTGATCAGTACAGATTATATACCTCTTCCTTCCTCTCAAACAAATTATTTCATTAATTAGTGGGGCTCAGCCCAAAGGGCCAGTGATTAGAGGATTCATATAGGGCACTGTTTCCCAGGAAGTATAGGGCACGGAATTCTTCTTAGTAAGTGCTAACAGAGAATGTGGATAATAGTGTTTATTAAATATCCCTCCCATTCCAGACTCAATAAAATGAGTTGGCTGCCTGATTTTCTAACCCTAATTTCAATTCTATCTAAGCACCCAAGGGGATGCGTGGAAACAGAATGTGATTTGGAGTAAGGAAGCCTCTGTTCTAATCACAGCTCTGCTACGAACTAGCAGTGTAACCTTGGGCAAGTCACTTTACCTCGATGGTCCTCAGTTTCCTTATGTGTAAAATGAAGGAATTGGAGTAAACGATCTTTAAGGCCCCTCCTACCTTTAACTTCTATTCAAAGCTAAGGTCCTACAGCACATCCCTCAGTGCCTGGCTCTCTATATCCTTCCATGATTCCAGTCTCCTGCATAAATGCATGTGTCACTTTAATAGAAAGAAAATAATTCAAGGAAAGGTTTGTTGATCTGAATGAAATTCGTGGGTATATAGACAAGGGGGGGTAAACTCAAGTTTCTTTTTTATTACCTATGAAAAAATAGGTTTGTTAGCATTTTTCATAAATAGCAAAGAATTGGAAATAAATTGAGAATGCATTGAATGGGAAACTGCTCAATCAGTTGTGGAATTGTGGAATATGAAAATAATAGAATATCATTGGACAACCTTATGAAGCATAGGAAGAATTCAGAGAAACATGGCATGGTTTGTATGAACTGATGCAGACAGAAATAAATAGAATCAAAGAACGTCATACTGTAGACATAATACCTATGATAATGGCAATGAAAAGCAAAAAAAAAAAAAGCAGAGTAATTAAAATAACCAAATTTGGTCCCAGACAACATGTAATAAATATATTTCTCTCCATCACAGAAGAGAATCAGGAGACCAAGGGAGTGCATACACTGCCAGATGTAGTCACTGTATTTCAGATATTTTTATTGTTGTTGTTATTATGTGTGTGTGTGTATATGTATGTATATATACATATACATATATACATATACATATATAATATATAAAATCTCTCACTTTCTCAAAGAATGATAATAGGTGACATTTATATAATACTCACTATACGCCAGGTGCTATACTAACCACTTTATAATTATCATCTCATCTAGTCCTCAGAACAACCCTGGGAGCTATGTGCTATTATTATCCCCATTTTACAGATGAGGAAACTGAGGCAAAGGGAAGTTAAGTTAGCTCCTAAATTCGCACAGTTAATAGATAGCCGAGGTCAAATTTGAACTCAGGTCTTCCTGACTCCAAGGCCAGTGCTCTATCCATTGTGCCATCTGGCTGTACCCACAGGGTAGGAAGAACATTGTCTAATCTCCTCTTCATGGACAAACTTGATTTGTTTATTCTAGTAATACTGAATTCACTTTTTAATTACACTGAGTTCTTTCCATTTATATTGTTATGTTGTCATTCAGTTGTTTCCATTGTGACTGTACCCCGTTTGGCATTTTCTTGGCAAGGATACAGGAGTGGTTTGCCATTTCCTTCTGCAGCTCATTTTACAGATGAGTAAACTGAGGTGTCTGAGGTCGGATTTGAACCCAGGAAGATAAGTCTTTTTGACTCGAGGTCCGCACTCTATCCACTGAGCCACCTAGCTGCATCCAATTTTTTCTTAATTGTTATATTTTATTATAAGAGAGGGTTCAGTTCTGGGTTTGTGGTGCAAGGTATACACAGACATGACTAAGAGGAAAAATGATACAGAGGAAAGAGCAGAGGACCTGGGTTCACTTCTCTCTACGGACACTTACTACATATGTCAATTTGGGCAAGTCACTTAATTTCCCTGAACCTCAGTTTTTTCATCTGTAGAATGAAGGGATTTGGTTAGATGCTCTCTGAGGTCCCTTCTGGATCTACGATCCTTGATGCAAGAAGAAAAGGCATCAGCAATATTAATAGCATTTTTTATGGTACTAAAGACAGAAACAAAGTAGGCACCCATTGAATGCGAAATGGTCAAACAAATAGTGGCATATTCATGCAGCAGAACATTACCACACTGTAGCTAGGGGGTGCACTGGATAGAGCACCGGGCCTGGAATCAGGAAGACATGAGTTCAAATCAAAACTGGGATATGTGTGAGTGTGTGTGTGTGTGTATAAAATGTGTATATATGTATGTGTGTGTGTATGTACATATAGGTATATGCATGTATACTTGTAGATAGACAAATAAATATGGTCATATCCCGTTGATCTGTTAGTTTGATTGAATTACTTTTTTTCATTTTTGTCTTATTTATTCAAAGGGATGACATGATGGGGAGGAGGAGGAGGAATATATACATAGAAATATAGGTGATACAAAAAGAAATATCAATACAATTTTAAAAAATATAAATGGATATGCTAAACAAGTCAGTGCTATAAAGGTGTTGTGGGTGATGGAAGGAGGACAGTTTAGATCTATATTTTATTGACTTTCCCAGAATTTTAAACACTGTCAACAACCGTTATTTACATGGAAGCCAAGTGCTCTCTACAAATCGTTCTTATCCATTCATTAAGGGCTGTTTCTTAGTAACCTTAACACAATGGTCTGTGACTCAGAGGCTAGCCCTCATTTTTAAGATAAGCAAAGAAAGCTTGCTCTTGGGGCTACTCATCCAAAAAGCTCTGCATCTGGAAGAGGAAGTTCTCAGAGGCCAACAGGATAGAGTGCAGAAGGGAGACTTAACTGAAGGCAAAGCCAACTTGTTTATTCTGAGGCTAATTTGGATTATTCAGCTCCATTCATTGGGAACAATTTCATCTTTCACTAATCCAATATTCAGTTGTGGCAAGATCTACTTTGTAGCTGGGTGACCTTAGGACAAGTCATCTAACCTTTCTGGGCCTCAGTCTTCTCATCTATACAATGAGGCAGTTGGGCTAAATTATCTTTGAGGTCCTTTTCAACAACAACAACAACAAAACTCTATGGTCCCAAAAAGAACTAAAATTTAATTATCCTATTCACTTGTTTTATAGCCATGATTGTTAAAAGTTTGTTAAGAAAAGAAGGAAAAATATTATTTAAAACAAAGTCTTGCAGTTATTTGGAGTAAGCATCTATGGGTTCTCCCTACTCCCATTGATTAGCACTTATGATAGAAAGTCATTAATACTTGACCGAGTCACCAGGGTTTCTGATGGATGGTTGGTTGCAGCATCTTTCAAAACACATGATTAGGCCGCCTTGTCAACTTACCGGAATCTGCCATCTGCTAAGCACTGAGGGATGTAGTCCTCTTTCTCCAAGAAGGCTTGTTCCCTCTGAAGTTCACAAGGGCGTAAGGGCTGGAAATCTACTTCATATTCTGTAAGTAAGTGAGAGCCTTGTTAGTAGGCAATATGGATAGAATTCATAAAATTCAGACTAACAAGGAAGCCAAAAATAAATTTGAAGAAAATAATATCATTAAGTAAAGAAAACTACTCTATTGTTTCAGAGAAACACAAAAAGGGTAGAAAGTCTCCTTGATTTGGAGCCAGAAAACTTGAGTTCAAATCCTGACTCTGTGACTTATTGCCTGAGGGATATGAGAATAATTATTTAACTTCTCTGAGACTCAGTTTTCTCTTCCTCTTTTAATAAACTTTATCAAGAAGGAATATTGCCTTGATATTTTTATTCTGTTATTTTGCATTACTTAGTCATTTATATAATCAGACTAATTACATGCTTGTTTTTTATTGTCTAGTTGTTTGATAAAAGTTTATCTTGTAATCTGTAAAATTGAAATAGAGTAGACTAGTTCTAAATAGTTTTGGTGTCATGGACTCCTTTGGCAATTTGGGAAGCCTATGTACTCCTTCTCAGAATAATGTTTGTTATCTACATTCATAATTGAAGAAGATGTTTAATTTTAAGAAGAGGTTAATGAAAATAAGGATATAATTTTCCCTGCATTCAACTATCCAGGGATCTGTGAACTCTAGGCTAAGAACCCCTCCTATCAACAATTCTTGCCTGAGGTACTTAGTTCAACCCCTGCCCAAAGCATTTAGTATAATTCTTATCCCACTACAATTTCCCTGAAAAGCTCCCATGTATCCTTCACTTTGGCACTTAAATCAGTGGACAAACTTACCAAAGATATTGCCTAATGCTGTGCTGGCAAGACACAGCAGGCTGCCCAGGAGCAGCCCTACCATTTTCCAAGGAAACTGCTTTCCGCTTCCTTGGATAAAGGGAATGAAGCCTTATCCAGTCTCTCCCCTATGAGCCTTTTATATGACTGCTGCTATTCCTGACTCACTGATACACTGGGCACTTAAAGGGCAAGAGACACTTTTGTTATTTTTTTTTTCACCCAATCATGAAGCATGACGTCCACCTGTCTCCTCCACAAGAGCTGCCACCATTTCAGAGAGGCACTCAAGCAGCCAAGGAGCTGAAAGAACACTTGACTACACAGAACAGGGGCTATGAAGACTCAGGTTAAGAACCATGGCCTCATAAAACAAATGCCAAGGACATAGTATGCATTGTGTTCACTTAGCACTTCAAAGTTTGTAATGTACTTTACATATATTATTTTATTTGAGCCTCACAACAAACCCGTGAGGTAGGTACTTATTTGACAGAGGAAGAATCTGAGTTTCAGAGACTGTCCATAATTGTCCATGATTATACAGCTAGTAAATGTCAGAGGCAGTATTTGAAACTGGTCTTCCTGATTCTACCCACTGTGCCACACAGACTCTCAAAGATATAAAGCAAAGTAGAAAGAGAATGAAAAAAATATACGTAATAAGGGCAGAGGCAGCATGTTGTAATAGAGAGCCAGCCTTAGAGCCAGGAAGACCTGAGCTCAATTCCCATCTTTAAAACACATGACTGTGTGACCTTGGGCAAGTCACTTAACTTTTCAGTGGTCCAGGCAACTCTTTAAGAGAACATAACAAAATGCAATGGTAATGGCATTTGTCTACACCAGGAATTCCCTATACCATTGAAATCAGAGGCCCAATCCCCAGCTACTTATGTGTAGTAAGTAGGGCAAACTAGAAAGCCTAATGCAGGGAAACAAATTTGACCAAATAGGTATATTATTGAAACTTGGTGGCATGCAACTCATAACTGGAATATTTTTCTATATGTATCTCTCTCTCTCTCTCTCTCTCTCTATATATATATATCTGTGTATGTATATGTATGTATATGTGTGTGTGTGTATATATGTATAGATAGATGTGTATGGATGCATCTACACATCTGTGTGTATATATGAGCACACAAGAATGTGCAAATATGCACACATACAGAGACATGTGACATACATGTAAATATATATGTACAAAAACACATATATACACATATTTGTATATGCATATAGTTGCATGTGCTATGCTTGCCTAATACCTCACTAGTAAAGATAGCTCAATAAACTTTATGTGACTTTTCTGCTTTTCTTCTTCCCAGGCCTTTCTCTGCATAAATGAACTTACTCTTCAATAACAACTATAGTATCCATCACTTTCAGCTTCAGGCTTACTTGATATCTTCAGCTGAAGTAGTGTTGTACTTATTCCGAAAAAGGTGATGACTTTGATTCAAACTTAGCAGAAGGTTCTCCAACTCCGTTTCTTTGTAGGATTGTTCTTCTCCTCTTCCTCTCAGCAACAAGTGACAATACAGAGAATTATTTTCTGTCTTTTCTTCTCAGCAAAATATCATAATAGAGATCATAGTATATTATCTCAGTTCTTATTTTCTGCAGCAAGTCATAATAGAAAGCATAATATAATCAGTGTCAGGTGGAAGTAGAGAGCACTCTAGGGTCTCAGCCAACCAATATTCTTGACAAGTGACAATACCAAGAAGGAATTAAAGTCTCATTTGAAATCTATCCTTTCACCTCTTTTGCTTCTAGGTTCAGATTCTTGGTCCTCTCTGTGAACGACCTCACCTTATCTTATAGTAACTAACCAAATTCTTATCCTGTCTGTGATTAGATAAGATTATTTACCCTATAATCAGAGAATAGTTCTGATGTCCATGTTTCCCCAGTTATTAGAAATGTGGGCTAAATCTAAAAAGATTAAAGTCAACAGGGGCTCTTGGGCTAAAAATTCAATCTCCTGAGTACAGTGTGGAAGAAGCATAGCTAGATATTAAGTTTAAATGATAATGATATTGAGAATTAGTGGATTGCTTGCTCTGTATGAGTCAACAGTGTTACCTAAGACATAAAAAAATAGTGATCTTAGGATACATTAAGAGAGGCACATTTCCAGAATGAAGACAGTGATAGCCCTGCTCTATTCTGCCCGGTCAGGCTGTATCTGTAATATTGTGGGGGCCACATTTTAGAAAAGAATACTGACAAACTGATACATATCCAAGAGATGAGATACTGGGATAATGAAAGGACCAGAGACCATGACATACAAATGTAACCACTACATGGAACAGTGGGAATGTACAAACATCTCCTGTATCAACAGGTCCAGCATATACTGGCTCTCTATCTTCTACTGATTCAACTCTCTATTGTACCTCTTGTGTGCTCTCACAACAGTATGGAAATATGTGTGTGACTACAGATCAACCCTCTTAGCTCATATCCCCACCTACTGACTATTCCCCTTCCTAATTTTCATAGCTTTTGGCAATCAAATGCCCTGATATTTTTTCTGCCTACCTACCTATCAGATGCACTCCCTCACTCAAATCAAAGTCAATTGCAAGTTATGTCATCATCTCCCTAATGTCATGGTCCTCTTCAAGAACAAAGGACAAACACAACAACTTACCTGTCTGTCTATCTGTCTGTCTATTTATCTACCTACCTACCTCTTTCGATCTAGAAAGATATCAAACACTATGACCACTCAGTTGCCCATTCTACTCACTTCTCGCCAGTTATTCTCCCACACCACCTCAGCTACACACAAAGATGGTCATAACCATGGCCTTGCCATCGTTCACAAATGTATCTCCTCTATGTTCAAGAATTCCTAAATCCCTTTATTTGACCTTAATCTATTGGCTTGTTGCCTTTCCCTCCACATTCTCTTACAAAATTCTACTTTTTGTCTATACCGTGACCTCCATTCCCTTAACCCCTCAATTCTATATCAGGCCATCTCCCCTGAACCAGTCATTCTCTCTTCTTTTCCTCATCTGTATGATTAAGGAAGAAAAATGTGGTTCGGATTCACTCCTACAATAAGACACAATCCTATAGAGACAAGTGAAGGTAGCTTTAATTAAGATTATAATATAGGTATAGAAAAGCTAGATTTACAGCAGCATACAATTAGCAACGTGACTGTAGTTAGGCTAAGAATACAAAGGATAGCAATAATATAAGAAAACATCACCAATTCGGGGAAGCACCAACACCTGAAGTCCAAGCTGGGGATTCCTGGGGTATAGCTTTCGGGGTCCTGATTGGGAAAGTCCCAGGGAGAGCATACTCTCCATGGATGAGAATCCAAAGGCAGCTTTCCCAATTAGGATTTAAATAGGGCCTCTAACAAAGAAGGCCCCATGCCAGAGGCGTCCATGATTCTAGTAGATACTTTTACTTGGTCCAGGAACTGGCTAAATTCCTGGAGCAAGCAAAACATCTTAGAATATTAATTAACTTAATATGTTCTGATGAACTGGCCAGGTTCCCAGAGCACACCTTTTCCTGAGAACTGGCCAAATTCTCAGGTCAGCATAGATAACCACATTCTGGCTTATAGCCCAATGTTAAGAGTCATATAGGGGACGTGGAAGATCTTTCCTTATAAGATTTGTCAATCACCATATTGACCTTTTGGTGAACCAATTCAACTATACATTGTTCTCTTTTGAATCACTATCCCCCATATTATATGACCAATTATGCCCAACCAAATCTTAACCTTGGATCACTCCTACCACTTACCACCTATGCACCTACACATATGCTGCCAAATGAAGATGGAGAAAATCATATGACTTTTCTGACATACAAATTTATGTTGCAGAACCTCAACTGGGCCCTCATTGCAACTAGGTAATCCTAGTATATCCCCCTTGCCAAATCATTATTCCAAACTTTGTCATCCTTCATTAAACCAATCACGGCTCTTCCTCCCACCCACCCCCACTTTTTCAGCCGAGAACTTTGCCTCGTATTTTACAGAAAAAAAAATTGAGGCCATTCACCATGAACTCCCTCTTTTCTCCTCTTTCTTAACTCGTATTTCAAATACTTTCTACTACTCTTTTGTCCTTCACCCTCGTCTCACAAGATGAAGTGGCCTTACTTCTTACCAAGGCTAACCCCTCTATTTATTCAAATAATCCCATTCCATCCCATCTCCTCCAACAAATTTCCTCCTCTGTCATACCCACTCTTACACTTATTTTCAGTCTCTCCCTGTCTCCTGCCTAAAAACATGTTCATATCTTCTCCAAATCTCTCATTTGATTCTCCCACATACCCCCTATATCTAATCCATTACCAAATATTGTCATTTCTACCTTTGCGGAATCTCTCAGATGTGCATCTTTCTCTCCTCTAATACTGTGACTACCCTGGCAGGCTTTCATCACCTTGCACCTGGACTGGTTGGTCTTCCTACTTTCAATCTCTCCCCATGCCAACTCATCTTCAACTCAGCTGTCAAATGGACCTTCCTTGAGCATAGGTTTGGCCATGCCACCCCCTATTCAATAACTGCCTATTGTTCCTTATTTAACCTCCAGAATCTTATATAAAATTGTTTGGCTTTTAAAGTCCTTCATAACCGGATCCATTGCTACTTTTAAGGTCTTTTTAGACCTTACTTCCCACCAGGTACTTTATGATCCAGTGACACTGGTCTTATTGCTGTAGCTTGCACATCTCCTGCTTTCAAATATTTTCTTTCCAATTTATCCTCTGTGTGTGTATACATATGCATGCAGTTTGTTTGAACATAGTTATTTGCATTTTATGTTTCCCATTAGATTGTGAGCACCTTGAGATCAAGAACTGTATTTTGCCTTTCTTGGTATCCCTAGCACTTACCTAGCATATAATAGGTGCTTAATAAATGCTTATTGATTGACTGAGTGATTGACTGCACCCCAGCTTCAGAATTCTCTCCCTCCTGGCTTTCTTCAAGCTTCAAGAAGTCTTTATTTGTTCTTCTTAATCTTAGTGCCTTTCCTCTGAGATTTTCCCCAAATT